CTTGAGATTTTCTTTTTAAATTGAAACAATAGAAACAGCCTGAAGGGTGGAGTCAAGCTCCCATAGAACCTGCATTTTTAGTTTTAGTTTTTCAGTAGCAGTTGCTGGGTTTTTGAAGCTGTATTTGGAAGCTGCAATATATCTCTCCCTGCTACTGTCTCTCTCTGAGCTTTCTTTTGATGTTTTTCCTTCTGGACTAGAGAATTGCATGTGAGACAATCAATTTTACTGAATTTGGCTTTACCAAGAGTGTGTTTGTGAGATGTTATAATATTGGAACAATTACTGTTTAATAGTGAAATAATTTATTATTCTGTTAAGTGTTCCAATAGAGTTAAGTTATTCCAATTTATTCTTTCTTTTGTATTTTAACTATAGGTATGGATAAACAGTGTTTTGCTTCCGCACTGGTAGTTTGACCAGTCAAATTACATCCGAAATGCAACACCTGGCACTTACCTTTATAATAAGAAAAAGTTAGGGTTCTGGACTACCTTCTTAATGTATTTTGAGGTGATTTGGTCTGGTCCATAACAGGAATATTTTGACTATTTTGCCCTTGTTTGACCGTAAACAATATTTCTCGAGACGTTTGAACAAAATCTGACACACAGGATATGGCTGAAGGGAAAACCGATAAAGTGTTGGTAAAGGTGTTGTGGATTTGTGTCTTGAACCTGGAATATTTTGATAGGATCATTTAAAAGGAGAGATTGACCAAGTTGACCTTTTTTTGTGGAATGCTGTGGATTATCCCACCTGCTGCTGTAAAATTTGTCATGGTTGTCAAAAGATGAATATTTAACAGAGTAGGTTGTTGTGCAATGCCCTGAAGCCTCTATGATGAGATCGATGCCCTTTTTTTTTCAATCTTATAGTCAGGCGTCAGTTAAGACCACATAATTGAATTAACACACTTCTATTACTGTAAATTATTAGTTCTATATAAATTAGTCTATGAAGTCAATTTTAATCTGTACCAAGTTTCAGGCTAGGACAGGACAAATATTTTTAAAAAGTTTTTTGTTGGCTTAAATATTAAGCTCAGGATTGACGAGCAGTTTTGACACATGGCGATATTGGAACGGGAAGAGCTGCCCAGTTTCAAAATGTGTTAAATACGTCAGTGTATTGAACAGAACCTTTAACTTTTAGCTTGCTGAAAAGAGAGAATTCTTGCCTAAGTTATCCACCTTGCATTCGTGGAGGTACATAAGAATGTCAAGTTTCAAAAGATAACAATAGTTTATGCTGCAGGGTAAAGGGAATACTAACTGTTAAGCAAGTTGACTGTGATTAGCCGAGACATCGCCTTGGAGAAAGCAACAAGAAACTGTAGGCTTTGGGGTAATTTCAAAAAGACACTGGGATTGCACAAAACCCATTTTTGCTTGCAGAGAATGGGTTCCTGTATATGAATGCAAATTGATTCTATTGCTATGTGCTTGTCACTGAATTTAAATTAGTTGTTGGTGTAGCTTGTTCAGCAAGTGCTGCCCACGCATATTGCAAGCATGGCTGATTGCATATGGACTGCTGCATAACATTGAAATGCATCATTGGCTGTTTTCTGCTAAGGTGCAGATCCTTAGTGCCATTCTAACTTGTGTCTGTAAGATCCCACAGAAGAACAGATCATGACTGTGGATAATCCTTTTGAGGGGGCAGAGTAATCCAATCCAGCCCTGACAATCACCGGAGAAACTGATTATCATGGGTAGGTTAGAGGGTGTGTAAAGCTGTCTCCTGGTTGTGACTTTTCCAGCACAAGTAAATAGGAATAGATGGAGGTAGGTGGGATATCCCAGGAAATGGCAGGTGACACTGTATCCCTACTTGTTTGAAGAAGACAGGTGCAAGCTTTGAGGAAGCTACAAAAAGAAATCTGCTTATCTCACCGAAATATTTATACCATGGCTGAAATGATGAAGCAGTCTACTTCCATCCTATGTGGTATCATTTTGTATAGCGTCAGTAATCTGTCAGCTACTTCAAAATGTTGTCAGCTTCAACCAGGCCTCACAGCTTTGATGGAAGCTTAAATGTTTGTCGTCTAAACTTTGAACTGCATCTTGGCAGACTGGTAGACTGAAGGGAGAGGATTTTAGGGATCCCCTCAGCTTCTGTAGTCATTCAGCTTCCGTGCTGATTAGTGGGAGGAATGAATCTCATCCCTGAGCAGAATCAAGGGTTACATTAACTTTTGCCATTTCTCAGGAGCATACCCCTGTACCTGAGTTTGATAGCATCTGATCAAACAGATTGAGCATGATTCATGGGTTACATGCTTATTTTTGCTTATTCTTTAAGATATTTTTGGCTGTTCAGATGTTTTATAGTGCTTAAGATGTAATTGCCTTGAGTACATGGGAATGCATCTGGATTGGGTTTTGAATATTTGAAGACTGGCTTTGGTCAAGTGGTTTTGCCTCTCCACCCATTTATTTCCTTAGTTCAGCATTAATTTGTTTTGCAGCGACTTACAGCTGATCACATTTTAGCATTTATTATTTGTCAAGTTTTTGGAGGCCCACTTTTGTGCAGTGGTGGTGTTCCTACCCCTGGATGGGGAGGCCCAGGTTCAAGACCTACCTACTTCAGAGGCGTGTAATAACATTGCTGAACAGGGTGATTTCAAAAAATAGGTTTGTCATACTTTTGGGATTCTTATGGCAGAGTGGCAATGTCCCTATCTCTGAGCCAGGAGGCCTGTGACACCTGCTCCAGAAATGTGTAATACCATCTCTGAGCAGTTTGATTAGAAAACATCTAGTGATGGTGGCAGGGACAGCTATGGCTCTTAGGGTGCAGTGGTAGTGTCCCTATCTCAGCACGGTGGCTCAGTGGTTAGCACTGCTGCCTCAGAGCACCAGGGACCCGGGTTCAATTCCACCCTCGGGCGACTGTCTGTGTGGAGTTTGCATATACTCCCTGTGTCTGCGTGGGTTTCCTCCGGCAGCTCCGGTTTCCTCCCACAGTACAAAGATGTGCAGGTTAGATGGATTGGCCATGCTAAATTACCCCATAGTGCCCAGGGATATGTAGGTTAGGTGTGTTAGCCAAGGGAAATGCAGTGTTACAGGGAAAGGGCAGGGGAATAGATCTGGGTGGGATGCTCTTCAGAGACTTGGTGTGGACTCGTTGGGTCAAATGGCCTGTTTCCACACAGTAAGGATTCTTTAAAAAAAATCTCTGAACCAGGAGGCCTGGGTTCAAGTCCAACAAAGATGTGTAATAACATCTCTGAACAGGGTGATCAGAAAGATCCATATCTCCGCTTGTCCATGCAATTATGTGACTATGAGGGACTGGATGCAGAATAAGCCTGCTGACAGATACTTTCTTGAGAGTAAAAACCCATCCGGATAGATTAGTTTAAAAATATCTTTGTCAAGCTTTTAAGGCTGTTGTGGTGCAGTGGTAATGTCCCTACCTCTGAGCCAGAAGGCCCAGGTACAAGTCCCATCTACTCCAGAGGTGTATAATAATATCTCTGAACAGGTTGGTTTGAAAATATTGCTTTATCAAGCTCTTACATCATTTTTAAGCTCTAAAGCAAACTCATAAAAGGTATTCTATACATTGTCATATTTGGTTATTTGCTAATGAAGGATAATGGCATTGATTTGTCATTATTTTAACGAAAATTGGGATGCTCTGAATTTCATATCGTAGTGAGATGCAGGATTTAAACTGTGGTTGAATGAATTAAAAATACTGGAAATGCATTGTTTTGTAATTGATAGAATAGAAAACACTACTTTATATTTTTAACATCACTTTGAATCTTTTGCAAAGCTTGTTTTATAATTTTGCTTTTACAGTTGGCTTTGGGCATTGCATAGAGTTGTTTTTTTTATGATTAAATCTTATTTTTCTGTTTCCTGTTCTCATTTTATATCCAGTACTTTTAATGGAAATAGAGTTTTCAGTAACAGAAAAATATTTCTCAAGAAGGGAAAGCAATTTTCCCGTTTTTTTTGAGATACAAAGTAGATCAGAAAATTTACTTAATGAAGGTATTTCTCACTGTTCTCCAAATATTACTTAAAACAAAAGAACTTGGCTTTGAACTTATTCTTTTTAGAAGAATATGTAATTTGTTTTTACTTATTAAAAGATGTACGTTTTAGTTTGGATGTTCTATACTGAGCACTTTGTTACTGCTCTCTTCTATGTTCTTTATCATCTATTTTCCTAAACCAGTGACCCAGGATTCAGGCAGAGGCACTGTGCAGAGTATTAATTAACACACCCAGAGACATGCTATCTTGGCCTTTTAACCTTCCAAAGGCCAGTGAAAGCAGTAGAACCTGTCATATTTGTCTTGTAATGAAAGTGAACTTTTGCCATGCCTTATTGTGTTACAGCAGACTGAAAATGTCCAGCTGAGATGTTTTAAAATGAATTTATATGTAGGTTAGAAAGAAATTAACCTGCAGTAAGAATGGTTGCACATCTCTGTGATACTTAACGTTGTGATTGTTTCAATTGTCAGGTGTACTGTGCATGGAACCACAAAATTATTAACATGTGGCTCTGCTAAGCATTCTGTAATTTTAAAGAGAGCTGTAAGTACTAGGAATGCTTTGCAGGGTGATCATCTAAAAGGCAAAAAAACCAGCTTAATGTTTCAAAATATTAACTTGTTATTCACTGTTAGATGTTCATTAACTTGTTGTGCACTTGCTACATCTTTTACTTTTGGTCAGTGAATTGCTTTAATTCCGATCTGTGGAATAAATTCGTCAACTCATTAATGTACAAGTTGTGGAAAGGTTTAATAACATAAATAACCCAGGAGTATAATTTCTGATAAATCAATTTGCTGAACAAACTTATCAGCTGCTCTTTTATCAGAGTCAGCATGAATGAGTGCCATTTTTTAGAGGTCTTTGGAATCCTTTCTATGTGTCATTAAAAGGTGCAGTTTTGTGGCCATATACCTAAGGTGCACAGAAAGGTGAAGCATTTTTTAAGGTAATATTTTGCTTTTCTAGGTATTTAAAATTGAAGTACTCATGAGTGGACGTAAGCACATCGTAGAGAAACGTTACAGTGAATTTCATGCACTTCACAAAAAGGTAACTACTTTCATTTCTCCTCGCCAGTCAAACCTCCTCCCCAATATGTATTGGCTGTAGGTTTGTGTTACTGGGCCACCGAGCAAGTTGAACTGTTAATCGTTAGTTGAAGTAGCATCCTTCGAGTGTTAATCTAGTAAGCAGCTAGGCCCTACTGAAAGCTTGAATTGTCTTGAATTTGTCTCCATTCATCTGAAGAGTTCATTACTCACCTGGCAGTGCTGTCAGGGATGGAGGCAGCTGTGATGATGACTCTTGACTGCTGTTGATGGAAGGATTCCTCAATGAAATATGTTCACAAATGCTGTTTTCTGAGCTGATGCTGAGTACAACATTTGTAGCACTTTGGTTGGCTGCAGTCTCAATTAATCACTATATATTGTAGCTATTTGTACAGTTAGCTGCATGCAACCATGTTTTTGAAAATCTGTTATCTCAGCTGTCTTGTTACGGCTGTCAGAGTTACCCTTTACACAGCACGAATGGGAACTCCCACTGCTGGACGTACTTCCACAGTGTTTTTGTCAGTTGGTGGTATTGTATGATCAGAGTTGATTTAAGTTTACTGTTTAGAGGGTTTCTGTGCTTCATTTTCCCCTCACTCGTTCCTTCCCCACAACCTGATTCTCAATAAACATCAGTTAGAACATTGTCCCACTTTCAGTATGCACATATTGCCTTTGGTTCAGAATGTCACGAGCTGCGTGTAAGACAGTGTACCCCAATACTGTGACACAATAGAATCTCAGCAGGACACCCCTTGCCACACCTTTTGTAAAGTAGTTTGCTTTCTACAACATAACCCCTTAAGGGTCTCAATTTCCAATGTAGGGTCTATGGATAATTTCAAAAAAATAACAAGACTGTTCAGGTTTGGTGATATATAAACTGAGAGTTGCTTTCAGGACCCTCTGGCCTTATTAGACTCGGAGTTGTAGAAGCTAATAATTGGAGGTGCGCAGGGTCCTAACAACAACACTCCCAACCTCAACTTAAGTGACACTAACACACCATCCAGGAGCACTATTTTCGGAGCACCCCTGCTCCTGTTCTTATTTCTCATGGGCTAATTGGTAATTCTGCCGTTTATATTTTGAGATTACGCTTTGTACCAAACAATGGTTAATTTTTCTATGTGAATCTTTCCCATCCAGGAATTACCCAAATTCTGTTTGGACACTTGGGAGAGAGAGTACAATTTTGCCTCCACTTGTCTGGAGTGCACTTAAACTCAGTTCCAGAGGTGAAAATGTGTACTTTTCAGTCCCTAATGGACTACTACTTGTTTTTGAGGGAGTAGTTTCAGTATTTTGATTCCTCTCAGGGCATGATTTCTAATGTTATTGTTGATTAAAATTGGCAACAGAATTTGCTTACAAAAATGGACATTTGGGATTAAATGATATTGGTACCACTATTGATTGGAAAAAAGAACTGTTTTATACATTTTTATGTAGATTGTATAATTTTATTAAAACACAATGCAGAATCTTATATTTTTGTACAGCGCATCACTTTTTAAGTGAGGAAAACCTTAATTTTTGACTGTACTATATCTGCTAAATGACACAGCAAATTATTGAAACATTGGTGTGAAATTTCGAAGTTTTGCAGGAAATGCGTAGAAGCAGTGGTGGTGATGCACGCAAAGGAGGTTCCTTTTGTACGAATGGTAGATCTATACATTAAGACCCCATTGCTCGTTGTTTATGTGACAACTTACAGTTTAAGATGTATTTTCTCCCCTTGTTCCTAATTACAAAATGTTTTAATTCATATTTCTGACTTGTGTATCTATCACTTGATTTCTCATTCTGCCTTCTTCCAAACAACTCTTCATCTTGCCAAACTCCCCAATTTTATATTATTCCCTTAATTCCTCATTGTTGATCATTAATGTAACTTATTACCTGTTCATAACTGTTCATTCTCCTTAATTCCAGATACCATTAGCTTAATCTCTCTTGTGGTGCTTTAGTCAAATACCTTTTGAAAATTCACCTAATGCTATATATTGTATTTTCTTGCTGTGACTATCATATTTCTTCAAATAAATTATGAATTTGGTTAAGTGTATTTTGCTGATTAGAATCTATGTTGACTGCCTTTCCTTCACATTTTGCATGTTCACCCACGTACCTGGTAATTGCAGTTCTGTTATCAATTCTAGTTACTTTTTTAAAACTCTATACCTTTGCAAGAATGATCTCTGTCTCTTTTCTTATGCGTTTTTTTTCTCCCTGGACATGTCTTCTTTTCAAGCCGTTCCAAACTGGTTTGATTCAAAACATTGTCATTTGCCTTTTTGCCATGCATAATGTGAAAGCCGACCAGCAACTTGGTTAGACACCAGGCATTGACCATCCGTTAAACTTGCTTTTCCTCCCCGCATTGACAGCTATTCTGGAAAATGCATCTGCATTTATCATTGGCACTCTGCAATTTAAAAAAAAATTGTTAGCTAGTTACCTGATGCATTATTCTGTTTAATCTAATAACAAAATGGGAGAAAGAAGTTATGAAGTCAGTTTGTAAAAGCTAAATTGGCTTTGAGCTTTGTTAAATGTAAGTTATAATTTTTTTCCATAAAAGTTGAAGAACAGCATTAAAACGCCTGAAATGCCTTCAAAACATGTGAGAAACTGGGTACCTAAAGTCCTGGAACAACGACGCCATGGTTTGGAAGCCTACCTTCAGGTATAGTGGATACCTTCCGAAATGTGTCTTTTTTTAAAAAAAGAAAAACCTTGCCTCATAAATCAAGATTATATATTTCAGTTTCTTAAATCCATTCCACAGTGTGAGTTCCTTCCTATTTTGTGTAAATGAGCTTACATTCTGAGATGCCCTCAAAGGTGTTTAACCTGTTAAATATATGATGTGTTTCAACCTGCATTACATGCTTCAGTTTTATTCTGTCATACTGTCACATACCTATGAATTCTGCTATGAAATATTGATTTATCAGATCACAGGGTGCTTCACAGCACAGAGTGTGGATGCCAAGAATTCTGACATACAGACTACACAAAGATAATGGCCCATTTCTGTCACTGTCACAGCAGTAGGAATCTGTGGGTCCATCCAGTTTTTCCAAGTGTGCTCTGCAAGGAATAGCTGCTACTTACTGATTTAGAAGTTCATTAGTTTTCCCAACCTCTTTATTAATGTGCTTTTATTTTACATTTCTACAAAATTCTTTATACAGTATGCCACCCCCTGAAATTAGTTGTGACTCTTAAGCAGAAAATGTATGTAAACGTGATCCTGAGATCTGAAGTCTGAACTGAGAACAGTTAGTTGTAAAAAGAAAATCCATAAGCGAGTAAGTAAAAGCTCAACTTTTAATAATTTGCCTTTGGCTGGTTTTAGGAAATTATCAAATCATTGTCTCGCCTTTAAACACAAATCTTCTGTTTGTCCATGGCTTTTATAACAGTTTATCTAACAAAAAATATCATTAGAATATTTCAGCAACAACCTTTTAGTAAGAAAAAAAATCAGATGATGAGAAAAGAATTGACAAAAAGGGCTCTTGCTTTTCTTTCAATAATTAGTAATGTTCCAGAGAAAGGGTAACTTTCTTCAGTAATAGATTCTCTGCTGAAACTTTCATTTGTTTTACTTTGCTGAATAAACTGACGACCAATACAAAGAATCCTGGACAGGAATTGATTAGGCTCTTGGGTGTAGCTCTGCTTTAAACAAAACCGAACAACACCTTGATAATTGGATTTTCAGTTGCCTCTAGGATTGGGATGCTGACATCTAGTGCAATTAAAACTTTTGACACCAAGTGCATCGGTGTTTGATGCCCAATGCTATTTTAGAAGTGCAGGCCAAGAAGTGGCTTCAGTGTTTGCTTGCTGTTCAGGTAGATTCACAATGCTAGAGGAGAAATAGCAGGTTCTTTAACAAATTGACAGTTCCATTATCCAGGATAGGCACTGCCCATGTAGGGATGTGAAAGGGAGGTTACCTCGAGATGTGTGTCCTCGAACTTTTCAAAAACATAATGAGAAAGGGAAATTACTGGCATGCTTGCCTCCATCCCTGCTTCTGCACATACTTGAAAATTCAGTCCTAATGTGAGCCTTTTAGGGAGTAGGAATGTAACATCTCGCACTGGTACAGTAAAGTTTACAAATACTGGTGACTTCTCTAGACTACAGTTATTTTTAATCAACCGGTTAGATGTGTTATGACACAACTAGGACGCAGGTGAACCTGGGCCTTCTGTCTCAGAAGTAGAGACACTATAATTGCACCACAACAGCTCCTTGTCTCGGCTATACACTTGTGTTCATTGACCCAAGTTGAAACTGGATTTTTCAAATGAATTCTTCAATACCAGATAATGCCTCAGACAATCAATACATACATTTTACATACATGTCATTTTTTAATGGCATGCTGACCATGCATGTATGTTTTGGAGGAAACCCATTTTCCAGTTACAAATCCTGATGCAGCAATTCTGCAATTTTCAGCAAATCTGCAGTTGTTAAACATACTGTTTTTTGTTTAAAATGTACCCTTTTTGTTAATCATCTAAAAAAAATTGCTTCTGACAAAAGATGCTGAATTTTACACTTGGGGCCACATCGGCACTGCGATTTTGGCTCTGAGGAAACCCATTGGACTTTATAGCTATCAGTGACTTTTTAATCCAATCACTGTCTTAAAATAAGGTTTCTAGTTTTCCTTGTCAGTTAGTATCAGCAGATATCAATCTTCCTTCAGATATTTTCTTTGCTGTCTGTCTAGTCATTTTGATGTTTGGTACAGTAAATTTGTTTTACACAGCCAAGAATTATCTTAATAGGACAACTTTTTCAGAGTACTTCTTGAGTTGCTATGTTGCCTGCACTCTAAGAGGGAATGTTGGCAGCAATGGTGAACACTTGCATGTTGTCAAGGTGTGTCCATTATTTAAAAGGATATTACAAACAATTGTTATAAAACAGAAGTTGACACCCCCCCCCCCCGACAACAAAAATTGAAACGCCAAAAGAGGAGCACCTCGCCCTATAATCTGTAAAAGGAGTGTGAAAAGTGGTGCAACCTGCTGTTCAGCAACTTCTAGTGGTTAAATAAAATAAATCCCCGACACTCACTTTAAAATCAACAAGTAACAATTTATTTCTCCAACTCTAACAGCAAACAAATTAACTAAACTATTAACAAACCAAATAACTCCCTTCGAACTACTAGCTATCCCTGAATAAAGCAAGATTCTAATGGTATGCTGTTCCAATAATTACAGATCCCACTTATATTTTTAAAAAAATAAGATTTAGTCTCTTGAAATTACAGCTAGGTTACATGTCTTCTGAAAAGTTCTGTGCGTTATCCTTCGATTCTTCTGCCAGGAATGCCTTCTCCATCGATTCTTCTGTCAGGATTATTAACTAGTTGTGTCGTGCTAACCACTGAGCCACTGTGCCTTTGTTATTTAAATGGTGCTTCCTCAAATACGTACTGGAATTTGAGTGCTAGAGACTCTCTGTTGAGAGCTGAGGACTGTTAACTCTGGCAGCTGGCAGTTAACTCTGCTGTCTTTGTCCAACTGATCTCTTCTTTTATACCTTTGATGACATATCAATTTCTTACAATAGGATTGGTCCTATGTCATCAAAACCATCAGATTTAAATTTAATTTTTTTTTGGTATATAAGTGCCTGGTTCAAATTGATTGGCTAAATTCAAAACCCTGTTGACTTGGTAAAAGCTGCTGCTTGGCCTGCTAACTGTACAGCCTTGCAATACAAATGTTTCAGTTTGGGTGCTCTGTGTTTTTGCAAACTTTCAGCTGCTGCTCACAGACATCCATTTAAGTTTCTACACATAGAAAAAGCACATAATCTTTTAAAGGGACCATGCAATGCTTCCCATTGTCCCCCCCAGTAGCATTTTACAAACACCAAATTCTAACTTCCTGCTTCCCAATCCACAAATACTCTACCCAACTTCGCAACACAATCAATTTGAAGAAGTTTGGAGTTGGAAGCCGGAGAGAAGGAACTAATAGAATGGAGTTCGAGGGATCAAATGCTGCACTTTTGTTCAGTGATTCCTCTCTGATGTCAGTGAAGACTTAGAGCAATTCAACATTGTGATGGGGCGAAGAAGCCAACCAAGGACGTTAAAAAATGTGTTTGGAAGTGACGCAAAATTCAGCAGTAGGAGCACAGTTCCATACTCATTAGATAAAATGTAGGAAGTGGCTCTTTGACCTCTGCAGTGTGGAAAAGATGAGAGTAATTATGTATTCACCTACATTTTGGTGTGTAAAAATTCAAAAACCCTCACTTTGTTTCCCTGGGCCAACCAGAAACTCAGTGTTCTGGCTATAACATATTTTACTTTTCCTTGCATCCTCTTTTCTCCATTCAACACTGACACTCTTTCTCATCCCTATGCCAATATCGCACCTGTCTCAACCAAACAATTAGTCTCCATCATCCCATTCAACACACAGCAGTACTGTTGCTTATAGATCCCTTCCTTCCCTCTTCACAGAAGAGAGCACAGAACATCAGGGAGAGACAGCAAACCGAATGTGACCCTCCAGCCATCTCATGACTAATGTAGGAACAGGTCTGGGTCCTTCAACCTATTGAGCTGTTCTGCTATTGGTTTCAATTCTGGCTAATCATCTACCTCAATGTTTCTCTTCTACACTACCTCCATATCCCTTGAAGTCATTAGTCTCTAGAAAGGTGTTGATATATGTCTTGAACATGTTCAATGATCAAACTTCCACAGTCTGTAGTGTATAGAATTCCAAAAGTACATCATTGATTCTGAGTGAAGAAATTCCTCCACATTTCAGTCTAAAATGACCTGTCCCTTATCTCTAGATTATGTCCTCTGGTTTTAGACTCCTCAGCATGATGGAACATCCATCCTTTTGCACCGTATAAGAATTTTGTAAGTTTGAATTAGGTCACCACTTATTCTTCAAAACTCCAGGGAATATAGACTCAGTCTCCCCATAAGAGAATCCTGCCATACCAGGGATTAATCTGGTCAACCTCTGTTCTGCTTCATCCATGGCAAGCATATCCTTCTTGAGATGAGGTACCAAAACTGTACAAAATACTCCAGGTGCAGTCTCCCCAAGGCTCAATACAATTGCAGCAGGACATCGTTATATCTGTGTTTGGACTCTCATGTGATGAAGGCTAACATGCCATTTGCCTTCCTAATTGCATGCTGCACCTGCAAACTAATTCATGAACAAGAAAATACAGTTTGCTTTGGACACTTGCATTTCCCAAAGTGTCACCATTTGAGAAATATTCTACCTTCTTTTTCCCACTAAATTGAATGACTTCATTCTCAATTCACATTATATTTCATCTTCTATGTTCTTGTCTTTTTACTTAAGAAGTTGAAGTCCACATGAAGCTTCCTTGAATTCTTCTCACAAGTTATGCTTCCATCCAGTTTGGTGTCCTCAGCAAATTTGGAAATATTGCAATTGATCTCCACATTGAAATACTTTATACAGATATTAAACAGCTGTGGTGTCCAGCACTGATGCTCGTGTTACCCCCACTATTTACAGCCTGCCATTCTGAGAATAATCCATTTATTTCTACTCTCTTCTTTCTACCTGTTAACCAATTCTTAACCCAGACAACAGGGAATCCCTGATTTAGAAATGTCCCACTTATGAACGCTGGTGCTTACAAATG